CAAATATGTTAACCCTAATAGAGGCCAGACACAGCATGCATAAGAAAGATGAACAATGGTTGTTCGCTCCAGAGGGGGAAGGTGGAGAGCAAACTTTTAAAAACAACACAACCCCTTTTTATCTTTGCCCTATCTTCACATTGACTGGTACTGCCCTTTTTTGCCAATTATTGCACAGAAGTAATACTTAGGAATCTTTTGGAATTGTAATACACACAGTATGTGCAACTCTGTAAATCTTTCTGAAGGATTAAGGTGCGTCTTTCTCACTGATCTACTCTTTCCCCATCCAGATTTTAGCTTCAATGGCTGCTTTGCATAAAAGGAGTATTTTTCTTCTCTGTATGTATATATAAATAAATATATACACATACATTCCAGGGGTACCTGTTAGTCATTGAACTTGTTGGTTATTAAAAATTTGTGATTTGGCAAAAGCACAGCCTTTTGGCTCAAAAAATAGGATTAAAAAAAAATGTATGTGGAGCAGAGAAGTAACAATAACACAAAGGCAGAATCTTAAGGCAGGAGAAAACTCTCAATATCATATTAATGTTTAGAATCAAGGTTGTTAATCAAGTGTTCTCAGAGGAGGGTTATAGATCAGCACATCAGCTGGATATTATGTGCAAATCCAATGATTTTCATTCCAGGGCAGAATTTTATAGATGCACATTTGCTACCTGAGATTGATGTGTTCCAGAATTTATTGATCCAGAGAGGAAGGCCAAGTTCACGAGTTGGCAAAACCAAGACCGAAGAGAACAAATGGCTGTCCAGAATTCTGTCTACAGAATGGCAAACCATCAAGGAAACAGGGAGAAGAAAACGAGCAAAGTCCAGTCAAAGGACTCAGAAGACCTTTCCTTCATACCTGACATTGAACATTTATGATATTTTTCTGAGTATAAGACGCACCCCTTTCCCTCAAAAAACAGGGTGAAAATGTGGGTGCGTCTTATACACTGAACAAAGCATTTATGGCCTCCTGAAACCTCACCTCCTTTACAAAAATGGCCATGCATAGCCTTTAGGAGGCTTCCAGAGTGCTCCTGGGGGCTGGGGAGGGCAGAAATGAGCAAACAACAGCCTGGTTTTTTTGCTCATTTTTGCCCTCCCCAGCCCCTGGAGCACTCTACAAGCCTCCTAAGGCTATGCATGCCGCCCCCTTTATTTTTTACAAAAAACAGGCCCATTTTTGGCAGGTCTGCAGACTGCAAAAACTTTTTTAAAAAATTTGCTTCTTTAAAATCTTGGTGCATCTTATACTCCGGTGTGTCTTATACTCCGAAAAATAAAGTAGCAGTTAGCAATAGCAGTTAGACTTATATACCACTTCATAGGGCTTTCAGCCCTCTCTAAGCGGTTTACAGAGTCAGCATATCGCCCCCACAGTCTGGGTCNAAAAAAGAATTAAGGTAAAAACATGATACTTTCTTGGTTCCCCTTGCACATATGTGCTAGTCATTCCTGACTCTAGGGGGCAGTGCTCATCTCCACTTCAAAGCAAAAGAGCCAGCGCTGTCTGAAGACTTCTTCGTGGTCATGTGGCTAGCATGACTAAATGCTGAAGGTGCATGGAATGCTGTTAGCTTCCCACCAAAGGTAGTTCCTATTTTTCTATGTGCATTTTTACATCCTTTCGAACTGCTAGGTTGGCAGAAGCTAGGACAAGTAACAGGAGCTCATTCCATTATGTGGCACTAGGGATCCGAACCGCCGAACAGATGACCTTTCTGATCAACAAGCTCAGTTTCTTAGCCACTGCGGCACCATGTCCCTTGCTCCTGGTAGCTCTCATTAAATAAGAAAACAAGAAACAACTATTTAAAAGTTAAGCCTGGGAATGAAGAATCTTGCTTCTGCTTCAACCAAATGACAAGCAAGGGAGATCTTTCCTTTAGGAAGAGGTGGTGACAGCAAAGTTACCTGTTTGGGGCGGGAACCTTTCTATTTGGGGCAATAACTAAACACAGAACACTGGACTGGGTAGTGGGAAAATAGAGATCCAGGCTATGGGCTTTACAGGTCTTGTTTGCAACATATACACTTCTGCTAGACTGACGCACATTGATTCTTCCAAGTTGAGTTTTTTATTGGTTTCACACAAGGATGGTATTCACTTACCTTCCCTACTGGTTCGCAAATGTGAGCATATGCGCTTTGGCTAAAAAAAGAGCCTAAATGTGATGGTTTGGAGCCAGGGTGGGCGGGCAGGCCTACCCGCGATTTCCACTACCTGTTCGGGCAAACCAGTCTGAACTGGTCTGAACCAGCAATATACCACCTCTGGTTTCATACCCATAGACAAAATCTTACCAGACTCAGGAGTCTACTATCTGCATCTACAATACACTCTGTGAACTATTAGGGAGGGACTGCCTTCATCCTCTTCTCTCACACATAACATCTGAACTGACTTTTCTTTTACTTTTCTCCCTCCTGGGAATTCAGCTCCTCATTACATTCCATCACATACACNGAACTGGTCGGAACCTGCTGAATACCACCTCTGATGCCACTGTTTAATAATTTAATTTACATATCATGACATGTTCTCAAACATTATGGTTCTAGAAAAAAGGGCCAACAAAGTCCAGAGCAAGTTTCCATGGTGCTTCACCTTGCTTGGGGAAGCCTGATCAGATTTTTTGAAATAGGGGGCCTCCCTCCTAGCTCCCTAATTGCTCAACAAATCCCAACTGTTTATGGCTTTATTTGTGGCTCTTGAATAATTTTTAGCACCTTGCTTGCCAATTAGAAAAAAGTCAGCATTACTTTCTTTAGAATTGTAAATACTTGTAGGCTGCCTCAACCCATTGAGACTCTAGATCAGGGGGGTCAACCTCATGTTGTCACAGCGGCATCATGTGATGTATTTGGACATTTCCCCACTTTGCTGAACAGGGTGTGGGTGTGGCCAGTGCTTGACACATCTGACCCGTGGGCTGCGAGTTTGACAGCCCTGCTCTAGATGGACCACGCAGGAGAAAGAAAAGTAACAATCAGGGAAATCAAGCAAAATCAGACTTGCTACTGTTAGCAACCAATAAATTGTATATCATTATAGATTATCAATGGATGATTATAATGAAATATGGCTAAGTATTCATGGAAATACTTAGGTGAATGTTTATCCAAGATATAAATATACCTTATACATATTTGTTGTTTTGCTGTTTTCTTTCTTTTTCTTTTTTGTATTCAATTGAAAAACTGCATGCTTGCGCATATACACACACAGTGGCACTTGCACACAGAGAAATCATATCACAAAACAAGAATAAAGTCAAAATGTTTATTTTGCCTGTTTATTCGATAACTTACTCATTTTACGGGGTATTTGATGATGTAATTTGTTTCATTTTCAGCAAAGCATTGAGTTTGACATTATGGTTATTTCAAAATGTTTTAAGAATCAATTACCACCTGAAACTTGGAAAGCAATGGAAGTTTTTAAAACCCCATGCCTGTGCATGAGAATTTAAAAGAGGGTTGGAAAAAGGATTCGCTATTTTATTCGTCAAGTGTGGTAATCCTGATATGGATTGGTCCTCTATGAATTTAGAGTAAAGAAATGCAGGTAAATGGTGCTGTTTGATACAGTTCTGTTTGATTGTTTGGTTTGACTATTTTTTTAAAATATCTTTTGAAAATCAAAAGTTTTATTTCTTTTAAAACAAACATTTCATCATTCCTCAATCAGTAAGACATCAAAGTACAATTTTTTGTATGTCAAAATNGTGGGCGGTTAGAAAATTTTACTACTAACAGTGAGACAAAAGTGGGCGGTAGGTATAAAAAGGTTGACTACCCCTGCTCTAGATGATGTGCTAAAACTTCTTTTTCAAAATGTTGGATGTGCTGGAAAGAGGAAAGTACATAAGGGCCATACCGCTTATTCTTGGTCTTTCCATTTTTCGCTTCTTCCTTTTGTTAGGAAGAAAAAAATGTTTACTACTTTATACATTACAGTACTTTTCCTCATTTTTGCATGAGTTTGGATGGGTGAAATGCAGACATATGTTTCCTTTTAAAATGTCATCACCTGCACAATCTAAGAAGGGTCTATGACAACTTGCCATGGCCAACTCTCTGTGGCCAACTCATCACAGCCAACTTGTTGCAGCCAACGCGCAATGTCCAATTCACTATGGGACAACTTGCTGTGGGAAAGAGTCATGGCTGCTTCTAAATTGTTCAATTCTACCTGCTTTTTTAAAGGAATGCATTAATCTGAATTATGAATTCCAGACCTATCTGTCTAAAATCTTTATTTAAATGCTTTACTATGAATATTGTAGGGATGTTATCTTGTTCTTCTACCACTGGAATAGACATTAAATAAAACAAGTATGTGAACTGGACTAAAGTAAGGATTGTTGACATGAGAATTTAAGCAATCTACAGGCATAGATTGACTTTAATGTTAATTTTTTTATTTATTAAATTTATATAGCCGCCCATTGTACAAAAAGTAGAATTGTACATTTTAAAAAATCCTTATACTTTAATGTAGCACATCCTTTTTGCTAAACCTTTCACCATCAAGCCTTCCTTTAGTGTAATCTTAATGTACATACCACTCCTAAAAATCTAAACACTGGAATGAACATGTCTACAGAAATACTCAGTCATTCAGGTCATGGTTGAGCTTCAGAGCTGAAGAAGCTTCTTGGATGAGAAGTGAAACAGCTTCAAAGCAAAACTGGAATGAACACAAATGAACAATGAAAGTAATACACTGAAACTTTTGGGGAAGGGGATTTATTATAATGACGTGACTAAAAAGTTCTTCACACTTCCTCTGGATTCTGTTTACATCTTCCCAAAGCTCACAATTTGGGAAGCCTTGTTTTAGAGCATTATTTAAATCTATTTTCTGTATGATTAAAGCTGCTAGAGTTTGTCCTGCAGATCTTTAAATTTTTTGGGGGGGGGGCCTATTTGTTTCTTCAGATTTTGGACTGAGCAATATCATAAAGTTTCAGGGCCTTTCCCAAGAACTGTTAAACACCCAGTGTGGGAGTCCAGCTTATGCAGCCCCAGAACTCTTAGCTCATAAGCAATATGGGCCAAAAGTGGATGTCTGGTCCATGTAAGTAGATTACGAATATTTCTATCTCTCCTTCAGCACTTTTAGGGAGACAAAGTGCTGTATAATGTCAGTAGCATTATAACTATGCATAATGGGAACTGTTTTCTCTCTGTTACATCACCTAAAAGTCTAATTTACCAGGAGTGGGATGATGAGCTAGAATAATAAAATACAAGGAAAATAAGCATGCTACTCCAAGATGTTGTTATAAAAAAAGTCAAACTTGGACAACATAAACACCTATCCGACCAATTGTTTTTATTTAAAGAGAGGGCTTAATGCAAATCAGTGTAATATGTCAGCATGTTTACTTTGGGGATCTAAAGAGCTCTTGATAATCCTTGCCAACACTGAGATCATGAAGTCATTTAAAAATGTACAGAGACCTTAAATACTACTGTAGAAATAATGTTGTAAGAAATATTAAATAATGCTATGAAAACTGAAGCCGACAAAAGGTATAATGTATCCAGAACTTCTACAAGGCTATGCTATAGACCAGTGTTTCTCAACCTTGGCAACTTGAAGATGTCCGGACTTCAACTCCCAGAATTCCCCAGCCAGCATTCGCTGGCTGGGGAATTCTGGGAGTTGAAGTCCAGACATCTTCAAGTTGCCAAGGTTGAGAAACACTGCTATAGACATTGAATCAAAAAAGAGGAATACCATGAAAGGGTTAATGCCATCGTACCCAGAGGTGAAATGCTACTGGTTCTGACCGGTTGGGTGGAACCGGTAGCAAAAAACGCTAAGGTTTGCCCCAACCGGTAGCAAAAAAAAAAAATACTTTAAAAAGTGGAAAAAAAAGGTTCCATGACACTTAGCTATGCCACACAATCGTCGGCAACTTTCCCCCCCCCTTTTTAAAACATTTTTTTTACTACAGGTTCCAGCAAATGGGTAGTAAAAAATGCTTTAAAAACTGAAAAAAAAAGCTTCCGACGGTTGTGCAGTACAGCTGATTGTCGCGGAACTTTTTTATTCACTTTTTAAAGCATTTTTTTTACTACAGGTTCCGGTCGCGCCTATCAGCTGTGAGCCGCACGATCATCAGAATGTTTTTTTCACCCACTTTTTAAAGCATTTTTTTCCTGCCGGTTCGGATGAATAGACAGGGAAAAAATGCTTTAAAAAGTGAGGACAAAAGGTTCTGATGATTGTGCGGATCAGCTGTGAGCTGCCCTATTTAAAGCATTTTTTTCCTGCCTATTCACCTGAACCAGCAGGGAAAAAATGCCTTAAAAAGTAAAAAAGGTTGGCCATGTTGGCTGCCCAGTCACATGACCCTTCCATCAAGCCACGCCCACAGAACTGATGGCAAATAGAAATTAGATTTCACCACTGATCATGCCCAGGTTTTATTTTTATATGAAGGAATGGAGAAGAGAGAAAATTGTCTTTTCTAGATTTGGTTTTGGCTTTTCTTGTTTTCTTGATGTGTGTAATAAATCATGACCCGACAAATGCGCGCCCGACAACAGCGCGCCGACAAAACCGCAGCGATAAAACCGCGATGTCAACAGCGCGCCCACAAAGGCGTGCCGACAAAAGAGCAGCGACAGAAGCGCGATTACAGTTAAGGTAAGGTTTAGGATAAGGGTAAGAGTTAGGGTTAGGTTCAGGGTTAGGTTTAGGGTTAGGGTTAGGTTCAGGGTTAGATTTAGGGTTAGGCTTAGGGTTACGCTTAGGGTTAGGTTTAGGGTTACCTTTAGGGTTAGGTTTAGAGCGCGCTTCTGTCGGTGCGCTGTTGTTGGCGTGCTTCTGCACTCATTCGTCGGCGCGATTTTGAACTCATGTTTTTTTCCCCGCAGTTTTGTTGGCGTGCTTTTGTCCAGCGCGCATTTGTTGGTGAACCGTAATAAATGGCTACAGCAAGGATCCCATGGACTGGCACTGGTCCATGGCATGCCAGCAATCGAACCATGTAAACAAACAAAGTCCTATCTGTGGGTGCAGGCAGCATGCAAAACCACATCCCCTCCAGTCCATGGAAAAACCTTTCTCCATGGAACTGGTCCCTGGTGCCCAAAATATTGGGGGCCACTGGGCTACAGTATATAAAAGCAGAAATATAAATTGTTGCTTTTTGTAGGAAATAACTCATCCATTTTTGCTTGGTATAGCAAGTCCCAGTGATGAACAGGTTTGATGCACAAAGGGAGGGGCAAATGAATAGAGTCATCTCCATAGCCATTCTGTTTTGTCTTCTCCTTGGACAGAGGAATCAGCACATTTGCCATGCTGACTGGCACTCTGCCTTTCACCGTGGAGCCATTTAATATCAAGCAACTTCATCTCAAGATGGTTAATGGAGAAATGAATCCCATCTCTCCCAACATTTCCTCTGGTAAGGGATGGTTTATTTTATATTTTAATATAAAATATGGCAAATGTAAAACCTGCTGTTTTAGATTATAGCCAGCGTGGCCATTGGCCAGGCTGGTTCGAATTCTGGAAGTTGTAATCTAGACACATCTGGAAGAGACCAAGTTAAGACAGGCTTGCAGTATATTGCAGCAATTTCTGTGTAACATATCAAGAACATCCATTTGGCACAGCTCTTCCTCAGGACAATGACTGACTGATTGAATTTCTACCCTGTCCTTTCTCTGAGAGTTCTAAATAACCTGCACAGAAGACTTTTTATCCACATAATGACAGTCAAACCTGGCTGACAAAGAGTGAGGAACTCAAAGTCACCAGTGAATTCTGTGATTTGAACATGGTCATTGTAGTGCAGGGACAGTATATGAAGCACTGGATAATCCCGATAGTCCAGCTTCTGTCACCAGCTGAAATAGCTGATGAATCTCTTCTGGATTGGCTTATTATTCACAATAATGAGCATTACATTCATCCTATAAATCACAAATCAATAAATGACAAAATAATCAAATGGTTTAAATGGAAGTGGCCCAAGGCCTGGGAAAATAGAATAGATTTGAATGTAGTCCATTTTTTCCCCTTTTCTTTTCCAAAACGTTAACTTTTTTCAAGTAGTGTTGGCTTTTTGCCTAAGTTTAAGCAAAGAATAAAATGCTGTGATTCCTCAGTATTTGAACTGGATCATTTGTCCATGATAATATTGAAGAATGGCTGTGGGATTTCTGGAAAGATGAGTAGACAAAAGTGCATTAGTGAGAAGGTATGTTTTGCCTCTGTATGAAAGCCAATGACAAGAATAGGTCTATTAAAAGAATATCATTGGAAGTGAATAGCTTGCCCCTCAGAAATTTAAATTCAGCAGTGATTTCTCTGATGTCAGAAATGTTGACATTGGTCATTTATCTTCCATGATGTTGTTGTCAGGAAAAATGCTTCATTAATTCTCCCTATTTGTTGTTTGAGGACTCTGTAGGCTGTTTCAAAAAAGCAATGCCACCTAATAGATTTGCTATAACAACTCTGGGTTTTTAAAATTTGTTCACAGGAGCTGTTCATTTTATGCACTCTTTGCTTCAACCTGACCCCACAAGGCGTCCTACTGTTAAAGAGGCAATGCAAGACAAATGGTTAAATGATAGTAATATCAGCAAACCACCAAATGCATTCATATATAGAAATAGGTAATTATTGCAAGTTTGTCATACTTTATTTCTTCATTTTCAACAGTAATGAATTTGCTTGAAAAGGCTCTTTGGCCATGTGGTGAAAGTGGCTTCTGACCATACCTTTCAGGTCCCATCATCCTGCCACACTTGAAGTATTCTGTTTATGGGCTGCAGAGGTGGGTTCCTACCGGTTCGCACCTATTTGGTAGAACCGGTTTGTCAAATCTACTGGACCGGTTAGAAGAGGTTCCACCAGTGGAACCTCTTTCCACCCAGAAAGCAGGCCACACCTACAGAAGAGGTTCCAAAATTTTTTGAAACCCACCNTGAAACAAAATTGATATTTTTTCTAACCCTAAGAAGAATAGTGTAGGATATGAAGACGGGGATTTCTATTTCTCGGAGAATCAAGGAAAGCAGAATTCCCGTGCTCCCTTTAGTACAGTGTTTCTCAACCTTGGCGACTTTAAGTCCTGTGGACTTCAACTCCCAGAATCCCCCAGCCAGCACAGCTGGCTGGGGGATTCTGGGAGTTGAAGTCCCCAGGACTTAAAGTCGCCAAGGTTGAGAAACACTGAGTTAGTAGCTTAGTTAAGTAAATCTGGCTTCCCCATTGACTTTGCTGCTCAAAGGTCGCAAGAGGGAATCACATGACCCCCAGACCCAGCGACGGTCATAAATAGGAACCCGAGGCCAAGAGACTGAATTTTGAACAGGTGACCATGGGGAGGCTAGAAATGTAGCTGGGAAAAACCGTCATGTCACTTTTTTCCCAGTGCCGTTTCAACTGAACAGTTGCTAAATGGGTTGTCGTAAGTCGAGGACTAGTAGTATGAGTTGGACAGGCTGGCTGGGGAATTCCGGAAGTTAAAAGCCCACCTTTCTTAAAGTGTGCAAGTTTGAGAAACACGGGGTTAATCCTTGTAGTAACCCTGGCAAGTTGTTCGCTTGCCAGGGTTTATAGTACAGGCGTGGTAGTCCTCAACTTACAGCAGTTCACGTGCTGAGCTGCGCACGCATGCGCCGGCCTGCCCCTCATGCAGCCCGATTCCCCTCGCTTCCCTCCAGCCGGCCACCAAGCCGCAAAACTTGGGGACCACTGCATTACGTGGTTGCTAGAAAAGCACTGCTTACTTTTATGAAGCCCCAAAGTCCTCCCGCAGACGCTTCGTTGTGCACCCCGATGTTTTGGGGGTCTCCATGATCCTCTGGAAAAGTGATGGAAGAGCCGCTGGGTAAGGTGGAGGTAGACAGAGGGACCGGCTGCGACAGAGGGCTTGCCAAAGGACCTGAAAATCAGAAGATATGCATGTTAAGCCATGATCTCCAATGTCCGCAGTGATTCTCAGCCATCCTGGTTGTCCCAAAGGTGCTTATTTCAGGTTTTTTGGTTTTATTTCTGTTTTTTTCTTTTGAAAGATTTATATGATCTGAAGAGAAACCAGAGTATGAAGATGTTTTGCTTCTCATCCAAGGAGCTTCTTTAGCTCTGAACTGGATGGTGAGGAATGGAAGGATTGATCCTCCCTGCAGGCGGCTGGTTATTTGCATCCTTTTAGAGGGTCCTTGAGGCCACTTGGAGATTTATTTGTGTCTTCTTTAAAGACGTTTCACTTCTCATCCAAAAAGCTTCTTTAGCTCTGACTGGAGGGTGGGGAAAGGGAAGGATTGATCCTCCTTGCAGACAGCTGGTCATTTGCATCCTTTTAGAGGGTTGTTGAGGCCACTTGGAGGTTTGTCTGTGTCCTCAGATAAATGGGTCCTTCTACACCCCACTTGCACCACTCACGTGACCCTGAGGACACAGATAAGCCTCCAAGTGGCCTCAACAACCCTCTAAAAGGATGCAAATGACCAGCTGTCTGCAAGGAGTGTAAATCCTTCCCTTCCTCACCATCCAGTTCAGAGCTAAAGAAGCTCCTTGGATGAGAAGCAAAACATCTTCATACTCTGG